TTTATAGTTCATGGCTTTCCAAATAAAGAGCCAGACCTGATCTAGAAATACCATGGATCACCCATAGTTATTTATAATAATATTTGATAGCATTTTATACCTTGTAAACATTTTTTATATATTATGTTTCATTCTTGCAATAACTTTAAAAGGTAGATATTACTGTTCTGAGTTTGTAGATGAGGAAGCTGAGGCTTAAAATGTTAAGTCACTTTGCAAGTTTATATAGCAAAAAATTATTATGGTGCTTTCTAATAACTAGCTTGAAAAAAATTTTACACAAGAGTAAATGGGGTTGAAAGGGGAGAAAGGTCAATCAAAGCAAACAAAAAGATCTATAGCCTAAGATGCTACCTGGGAAAACAGACCTGAACAGAGTACAACAATTGGGAATCTGACAGCCAGGAAGTAACACAGGGAGTATATTGACAAGGGAGTGAGACTGAGATACGTGGATAGATAGAGTTGCCTGAGGAAAATGTTGCTTACAGTGAGGTTTACTTTGGTGAGCTGCTTCTGTATAGACTCTTATATCTCTCAAATGTAAAATAAAATACTGAATTGTTTTATGGGGTATTATGGAAAAACAGCTTGGAGTAAATCTTTTACTTCTGTTACTCCCTCTGGATGCAAGCTAAGAAGATTCCTGGTCACTTTTCTTGGAGAGTTATAAATGTCCTGCCAAACCTAGACTTCTCATTCTGGCCATGACAAGGTAGCTTGTAGCAAACCAACTTTTTCCACCAAAAACTATTATAAAAGCTGGACAAGTATATATAAAACAACTGTTTGAAAACATTGGAAGACAACCAAGACAAGCAGTATTTAGGGAACTACAATCCTTAAGAGAACAGAAGAATATAAAGTGAGTGCCATAATCCCCTAAGTTTTTCTTTGAGAACATTTCCAAATTGTGTTAGGGAATAAACCCAAATGGAAATCACAGACTTACTGGGCTGAGTCAGAGACTGGAGTTCAGAACTGTCAAACTGCTTGATACTTGACAGCCAAAATCCTAGAGCAAAGATGATCGAAGAGAAGTGAGCTCATAAATCTGTGTACAGGTGTCATTTCTATCACTAGTGTACTCATACCTGGTGAAATAAACAGCTCAAGACTCCAAGAAATCCAGCACACACACACACGAAACAAAAACAAAAATAAAACCAGTAGCTGGGAGGCTAAAGATCAAGCCACATTAGGCTGGGAAGAATGAGATTGGAGTTCATGTTCTGCTGAATTGAGAGGGACCTAATAAACACCCTAAGCTTTCAGTGGAGAATCCAAAAGAACCAAGCTCTAGGAGTATAGACAATTACCTGGGAGAAAAGACCAAATACAAGGAGTAAGAGAAACATTTAAATAGACCAGAACCAACAACACATAAAATCAGCCCTAGATACATCAAGATGAGCTACCAGTACTCTATCTACCTGTCAAAAATAAAAGTTAACCCTCTTTGAGGGAAGATATTATCTAGAGCTTCAATGATCAGCATCCAATCAAAAATTATAAGATACAGCAAAAGACAGGACCAAATAATTGAAAACAAAGAGAAAAAAATAGAGAAAGATCCACAGGTGATTCAGATGTTGGAACTGTCAGACAGGGACTTAAAATAACTATGACTAGTATGTTCAAGAAAATAGACAAAAAGACAGAGAATTTCCCCCAAAGACCTAGAATCTATTTTTTAAAAAGTCAAATCAAAATTCTAGAACTAAAAATTATTATGACAAAGATTAATAATTCAACATATTAATTTAATAGGAGATTATCAGAACCAATAATTAGTGAACTGGAAAACAGGTTAGTAGAAAATATTCAGACATATACAGAAGGAGAAAATGATGAAAATATAGAAAAGGGCTTAAGAGTTATATGGGACATGGAGGAAAAGGTCTAATTTTCATGCAACTAGTGTCCCAGAAGGAGAGAGGAAGCAATTTTAAATAACTACTGACTGAGAATTTCCCAAAACTAGTGAAAGACATCAAAACACATGTCAAACCACATATTCAAGAAGCACTGTAAACCTCAGACAAGATGAATACAAGGAAAATCACACCTGGAAACATCATGATTATACTGCTGAAAATTAAAGAGAAACAGAAAAATTTTAAAGTAGCTAGAAGAAAAAAAGTTACCTTACCTTCAAAGGAGAAATGATAAGATTGATAGCTAACTTTTCAACAAAGTCTATGAAAGCTGGAAGACAATGGGATCATAATTTTAAAGTACTGAAAGAAAGAACCCTGCCAATCGAGAATTCTATTCCCAGAGAGGGGGAAAAATCTAGTAAATGTCCCACAGGTCCCTGAGAATGAAATATCTATGAACTTGTTCTATATATGGGGATTAGAAGCCAGATGATTGCTGATACTTCTGCTCAATATGGAACTATTTTTAAAAAGGGAGATATGAAATTCTGAAATGGGAACTACTTACTTATTGGAAGTGACTTATTATATTTTTATTTACAATAGAGCCCTAGAATAGCACTGCTCAATAGAAATATAATTCAAGCCACAAATGTGAGCCACATAGATAATTTGAAAGTTTCTTGGAGCAACATTTTTAAAAAGTAAAAGAAATAGGTAAGGTTAATTTTAGTGCTATATTTTATTTAACCCAATCTATACAAAATATTGTTGTTTCAACATGTAATCAGTATAAAAATTATTAATGAGATATTTTACATTTTTTGTACTAAGTCTTTGAAATCTACAGCACATCTCAATTTGGACTACTAGTATTTCAGTTTCTCAGGAGCCCCCTGTGGCTACTGGCTACCACATTGGACATCACAGTAAGGGATGCAAGAGACCTTCTAAGCAGTGGTTCTCAATCCTTGCTGCCCATCAGAATGACCTCAGTGAGGAGCATTAAAAAGTACAGATGCCCATGCAGAGCTGCAGTGAGGGCGAGGCAAGCAAAACACTTATCCTGAGCACAGAATTTAAGGGAGCACAACAAAAGCCCTCAGTAGTAAAGATAAATGATATTTTAATGCAATATTTATAAACTCAAAGTTAATGCAAAAAATACATGATGAACAAAACATCAAAGTTTTTAATAAAAACAGGATCTGATTGCTGATTTTTTCCCTTTGCCTCAGGCTCTAATATAGCTCAGCATGGCACTGTGCCCAGGATGTACTCCAGAGCGAATAAACCACTATTTCTGGAGATAGGGCCCAGGCATTATATTTTTTAAGCATTCAGATGATTCCAACATGCAGCCTTCATTGAGAACCACTGTTCTAGTCTAAGGTCTGTCCCAATGCACTGATTTCCTGATGAAGTGGAGAATTGAAAAGGGCAGTCATAATTCTGGCATGTGATTTCTTTTATGAAATCCCCAAAACACAGTTTTCTTTTTTGGACTTCTGGTGATGGGGAGTTCACAGCTTCACAGGGCAGCCATTTCCATTATTGGACAACTTCAGGATTGCTTCTTATTTATTTAGAGAAAACTGTTAACAGATAATTTTTTTAAAAGGGTAAAGCCATGCCTCATACAGATATAAAAATAAATGCATGATATAGATTTTCTTTAACAGAGGGACCTAGGCAGATGGTATAACTGGTTCCAAAAAGAATCCAAAACACAGATATCTTTATAGATCAGGGATATGCAAATAGACATGCGAATGAAAATAAATATGGAAATGAAGGCGAAACAGGTTTTTCCACAAGGGAGAGGGAAATCAATTGACGCTCTATCAGACTAGACAGAATTTGCTTATCTATCAGTTACCTACAACTTACAGAGCTGTAAAATATCTCTCCTGTAACAATCTGATACAGCAGTAGGGTGTGCGATAGGCAACACATAGTTTTCCATTTAAATACAAATTATTTCCCACACAACAGATTGCTTTCCTGTATTCTTTTACCCCTTGCTCTTAGAAGAGTGGTTTTCAAATTTTGACATGCAGTAGGATCGTCCAGGAAGAGAGCTAAAAGGCAGCCCTTCCAAGGACTCTGAGCTTGGATGGTGCCTATGAAAATGCCCTTTTTTTTTTTGTACTGTGGTTAAACATATATAACCTATGGATGCCAATTTAAGCATTTTGAAACATACAATTGTGTAGAATTAATTACATTCACACTTCTGTGTAATCACTACCTCCATTTCCAAAACGTTTTTGTCATCCTAAACATAAACTCCACAACCATTAAGCAATAACTTCTCATTGCTCCTCCCTGACCCCCATTTCTGATAACCTCTAATCTGATTCTGTCTCCGAATTTTTTTTTTTTTTTTTGCTTTTAAATTTATTTTTTCTTAATTGGTCTATGATAATTATATATATTTATGGAATACAATGTGATATTTGGGTACATTTATACAGTGTGCAGTGATTACATCAGGGTGTTTAGCATATCCATCACCTCAAACATTTGTCACCTCTTTGTGTTGGGAACATCCAACATCCTCTCAACCAGCTTCTTGAAGTTACACACTAATAGTTGTTGACTATGAAAATACCCTCTTGGGCCGGCCCGGTGGCGCACTGGATAGTGCGCCGCTTGGGAAGTGTGGCGGCGCTCCCGCCCGAGGGTTCGGATCCCACATACAGACCGGTTCCCGCTCACTGGCTGAGCGAGGCGCGGAAGCAACACCGAGGGTTGCAATCCCGTTGCCGGTCCCCGGTCCGGTACGGGGGCAACACTGAGGGTTGCGATCTGTTGCCGGACACGGAAAAAGACAAAAAGACAAAAAAAAAAAAAAGAAAGAAAATACCCTCTTAATGGGCACACTAGATGATTATGATGCTGGTGTTCCAAGCATTATAATTCAAAAAACACTGCCTTAGAATGTACCTACTCCACATCTGGAGATGGCCTTTTCAAATGTACTTTTCACAATATTTGGAGGTAGCTCTAGATTTTAATTCAAATCAGCCTTAGTGGTCTTACTGTGCTAGTAGCATTTTCTTTACTTTGTTTCCAAGATAATGTGCTATTTTCTTCCTCTCCATTCAAATTTTATAGGACAGACAAGGAACTATTTTTATATTATATGAGCACCTGAAGAGAGACAAGTTGGGAATGCTGTGAGTATGAAGTGTGTTTATGAGATGTAATAAGCTAAGAAAATAGACCATAACAACCAGCGAGAATGGTGCTTCTCATGCGTTTAATCAGCATGCTGATTTATTAGGTGTCTATCTTGTTTTATTTAGATATTCAAGTATTTCCTAAAATGACTTTAGATGTGTTGGTGGGGGTTCATAAATATAACTAATTAATTATCCAAAATTGATGAGTAAGATTTTAGACTTAACAGCATATTACACCAAACACATACATATACAAGGCACGACAAATCTGATTGATGGGAACCACCTCAGACTTCCCGATTGTAGAAGGGCAGTTGTCATCCTGGCATGCTTAGAAAAGTGCTCTGGTCACTTGGCAAGATGTTCCTGCAAAGGGCAGGGTCTGTAGTCCCTCCTCAGATCCAGTTTCAGCCCTGATGCAATCCTCTCAAGGTATGTGTATACTGAGAAAATTCCTGCTGGCAGCACTCAGGAGGCCTCTCCCCTTCCTGTTACCTGCAAATTTCTCTCCAGGGCGTTTTGGAGAGCTAGCAAAATTGTCTCCTCATAGAGGACTCAGAGTTTTAGAGCCACAACCTTGAATTATCTCCTACTTCATATCTTTGCATATAGTTATTTGGTACCTTTAAATCATCCTAACTTACTGGGAAACTGTTTCTGCCCTTATTTCTCTTCCTTTATAGCCTCTACGGCAGTGTAGACGTCACAGCCTCACACTGTAACACACACACACACACACACACACAGATCTGATCTCATAAAAACTAACCAAATAAGAGCCAATTCCTCTATTAAGCACTAATGCTCCTGAGTATCCTCACTTCTGCCTGGTGGGCAGTCTCTCGGAAACTGGTCAAAAGAGATGCACACTGAAACAAGCAAGTAGGTGCATAGGAAAGGTTTCAACTCATCTGTGTAGAAAACAGTCCTTTGTTTGTCCTCAAAGCATTACCAGTTATAACAGGCCATTTTCAATACAGTGATACTCACCCTCTTCAATCCTTTTGAACTTATGCAAATATTCTGGTTTCTTCTTCTTTGGAGCTAGAAAGTGACTGCAATTTAATCTAACACATACAGTCTTAAATACTTCTCATTACTTGGGAAGAGGACAAGCTGGCCATTTGAGTCCTCCCCTCCAGTTCCAACCTTTTCACAAGATCTCATAAACATGCAAAACTTATTGAGTCATATTAAGAAAATCCCTTCACCAGGGATTCTCTCTCTGCCCTTTTCTTACCTTACTCTGATAGCAAAAGAAATGACACCTCAATCTATAACATCCCAACAAGCATGCATTTATTTTATCTGCCCAGGCCTTCATGTCTAGAATGATAAGAGCATGGGACACTTCTGGGCATGTGCAGGGAAGGAGCTGCCCTTTGCTTCCCAGTGACATTCTGTCCCTCAGCTCGCTCCCTGCCCTGAGCCCTGTCCTTACCAAAAGCATTTAATCAACTGTGCCAGGCACAATTCTTGGTGTTGGGGAAACAGCAAAGAACCAAACAGACAAGTCCCTGCCCTCATGAAGCTGACATTATAATGGGGTGGACATACACCCCATTATAAGTAAGTAAACAGGTAAATATTGTCTAGCATGTCAACTGCTGAAATGCCAGGAAAGGGCAGCAGCAGTTTACTGGTAGTTGGAACACCAGAGATGAAATTCTTCCTTTTAGAGCCACAACCTTGAATTATCTCCTACTTCATATCTTTGCATATAGTTATTTGGTACCTTTAAATCATCCTAACTTACTGGGAAACTGTTTCTGCCCTTATTTCTCTTCCTTTATAGCCTCTACGGCAGTGTAGACGTCACAGCCTCACACTGTAACACACACACACACACACACACACAGATCTGATCTCATAAAAACTAACCAAATAAGAGCCAATTCCTCTATTAAGCACTAATGCTCCTGAGTATCCTCACTTCTGCCTGGTGGGCAGTCTCTCGGAAACTGGTCAAAAGAGATGCACACTGAAACAAGCAAGTAGGTGCATAGGAAAGGTTTCAACTCATCTGTGTAGAAAACAGTCCTTTGTTTGTCCTCAAAGCATTACCAGTTATAACAGGCCATTTTCAATACAGTGATACTCACCCTCTTCAATCCTTTTGAACTTATGCAAATATTCTGGTTTCTTCTTCTTTGGAGCTAGAAAGTGACTACAATTTAATCTAACACATACAGTCTTAAATACTTCTCATTACTTGGGAAGAGGACAAGCTGGCCATTTGAGTCCTCCCCTCCAGTTCCAACCTTTTCACAAGATCTCATAAACATGCAAAACTTATTGAGTCATATTAAGAAAATCCCTTCACCAGGGATTCTCTCTCTGCCCTTTTCTTACCTTACTCTGATAGCAAAAGAAATGACACCTCAATCTATAACATCCCAACAAGCATGCATTTATTTTATCTGCCCAGGCCTTCATGTCTAGAATGATAAGAGCATGGGACACTTCTGGGCATGTGCAGGGAAGGAGCTGCCCTTTGCTTCCCAGTGACATTCTGTCCCTCAGCTCGCTCCCTGCCCTGAGCCCTGTCCTTACCAAAAGCATTTAATCAACTGTGCCAGGCACAATTCTTGGTGTTGGGGAAACAGCAAAGAACCAAACAGACAAGTCCCTGCCCTCATGAAGCTGACATTATAATGGGGTGGACATACACCCCATTATAAGTAAGTAAACAGGTAAATATGGTCTAGCATGTCAACTGCTGAAATGCCAGGAAAGGGCAGCAGCAGTTTACTGGTAGTTGGAACACCAGAGATGAAATTCTTCCTATTCCACTCTCGCCAAACTTGATACTAAGATGTCAGGGCTATGACAGGATGTAGGCCACCAGGCAGTTACTGGGACTAGGAGAACCAAGCAGTCAACTGGATTTGAAGTTGGCAAGCTGGAAGGTAAGAAATTTCAATCTTCCGGGCCGGCCCGGTAAAAAAAAAAAAAAAAAAAAAAAAAAAAAAAGAAAAGAAATTTCAATCTTCCCAAGTTATGAGTCTAATTAAGCAGGGAAGGTTCAAGGTCCAAGTATATCTCTAAGCTCAAGAATTTAGATCGATGGGTTATTTAAGTACAAGAACTAGAAATCAGAACACAGTGATATGAACTGTCTTATTGGGCACCAGTGAGCATGAAAGATTAACTGCAAAGGACAAGCTGGGCCAGAACTGGAACTAGACAAACCCTCATGCACATGGTACGAGGTTGGGAGGGTGATGAGAGAAGAGCAGTGAGGCAGGCCAAATGCAGGACCCAGGATTCAGGGACTGGAGGACATCTCAAAAAGCAATCAGCTTGCAGCATCAGGAAAGTTCCAACCACAAAGAGAAAGGAAAGGACAACCTAAGAGCCACGTGTTGGGGAGAAAGGGAGCTCAACCATAGGAGCTCAAAGAGGAGGCCACTTTTAGAGACCCAGGCCAGCAGCGGGGGTGGCATGAAGAAAGCCTGTCAGCAGGCGACAGAGCCAGCAGAGTCTAACACTCAGAAGCAAGACTTGTGTCCCAGAATTGATGGGATGAGACAGGGGTATTATTAACAGGGCAGAAGCAGAGTTCTTGAGGTATGGGCCATGGGAAGATTAATTCAGGTGGACTCTTGGGCATGGAGGAACCAGGCAAGGGGGAAACCATCACAGAATTTAGGAGATAGAAGAAGAGACTGTTTTGTGAACAAAAAACCCCAATCATCAAACCTAACAGCAAGGTGGATTTGATGCCGAAGCCTACAGAATGAATAATTAGATTGGTAACCAAGAGGAACTCGCCCAGCTGTCCCTACACCTGCACCTGAGTTTTCAGGCAAGGATGCCTTGACCTGCAGGCTAGTTTTCAGTGGTAGAAATAGTACTATTGGTGTACCTTCTAGATGGTTATTGCTGCTCACACATCCTACAGAGAGGGCACTGTTGATGTGGACCTCCTGAAAGACTCAGTGCCTTTTCTGCGGTTTTTGCCCCACTTATTCTCATCCCTTACTGCAGTCACAGAACCAAAGAATGTTAGAGCAGAGAAGGATCTTGGGGATTAATCAACCCTCATATTATAGATGAAACTGAGGCTGAGAAAGGGGATGTGATTCACCTGGGTCACACAGTAGGTTGTCTGTCTCCTGATCCTGAACTAGTGTTCTTTTTGCTATACCACGAAGTCTACATTGAGTGGCCACCTTGTATAGGCAGTGGTAATTATCTTCCAGGATCCAATCCCAGTACTCCCTTGAGAATTACTTGTAAGNGGGGGGGAGCCCAGGATTCTGCTGTTTTAGGAAGCACCCAGGGTCTAATACATACTGATCCTGTGGCAATAAAATACAAATGACTTTTTAAAATTACTGACTCTGAAGTTGCCTTTGGCTGTTATTTATGTTCTTAAAAGAACTCATGTACAGCATCTATAAGGGGTGGGCCATTCTTGGATTTTGGGAATGTAACTCAAAAGTTTAGGAAGGACTGATCTAGTCCAATTCCTTCATTTTAGAGAAAAGGAAGTGAAGACCCAGAGAGCTTAAGTAACTCCCCCAAAGTCACACAGGCAGTGGCAGGACAAATAGCCCTGGTCTCCTATCTTAGGGACTGGGAAGCTTTCAACCCTGACCCAAGGGAGAGTCTGCTTGAAGGCAGACATTCCAAAAGGGTCTAAGCCTTAGACTCTAAGGTGACTTATTTTACAGTTAGCAATGGGAACAAAGTAGTAATCCCAAAGGTTTTTGCAGCTGACTTGGGGGTAGCTTTTTATGTTCATCCCCTCAGGACAGAGAAATTTTTAAAAAATTAATCCATTCACTTAGTCTATTTTTTTCCTTTGATAAATAAAATTCAAAAAATAGCCAGAAAAATACCTTAGAGTTTTATTTCCGNAGCTTTGATGTGGGCGCCTAGCCTGGTGTGGTGGGCGGGGGCCAGGCGGGTGGGGAGCAGTAGGGCTTCGCCCCGCAAGTGGGGCTCTGCTGGGGGTGACTCACAGAGGTCGCAGAGTTGGGCTGGTCTGGCACGCTTCACTCCGCCTCTGTGTGGTCCTTTGCTGGCTTTCCTGGCCTTTGTTGTCTGGACTGATCATTCGTTCCCACAGCCGGGCTTGGGCGCTCTCAGGATTCCTCCTCTGTGTCGGCCCCAAAACCTCGAACCTGCTGCCGCTTGTTTGTCGATGTAGGATCGTTGTTGAAAGAATTATTCGCCTTTTGTTGCTCTTGGAAATGCAATCAATACTCTGGTATCACAGCGCATGGCTCACAGAATCGCGCTGTCTCCTGTCACGGCCACTCCAGACCCGTCGCCATCTTGGGCAGCTCGGCCACCTTGTATAGGGAATCCTATTGTGTAACACAAAAATTCTCAGACTGTTGTGAGGTACATCACTGCTTGTGCAAATTTGTACAAGCAGTGATGTACCTCTTGTACCTGCTTGTGCAAAATTTGTATAGAATTTGCTAATTTACTTATTCTGATTATTTGGTAGGATTCAAGATTATCCATGGAATTCTCACTTATATCTAGCTGTGCTTTTTTGAGTGTGAGATAAAAGGGTGGAATTAAAGCTAGTGTATTAGGAATTGCATTAAGGCACTAGCATGAGAGGTTGAGAATAGATGACTCAATAGACAACGGCCAAGAGAAGGTCCTGTTTTCTAGAACATGTATTGAAAAGGAAAAGATGAGCAAATATAAACTCTTCTTTTTTGTGTTGCTTAGTTTTCTCTGGAGCTTTAGTGGGAGGCATTTCATGAGACAGTTGGGCTTTGTTTGGCTTTATGGCAAGCAGGTCACACTGGGTAAAGAACGTCAGTCACCTCTTTAGGAAAGGTGAGGGGGCTCCAAGAGGGGATGACTTTGCAGACCAGAGATTTGTGGTTTGGCTTTTCTGAGATATCTTCACATTGACTCCATTTACTCTGAGATATTTCTGGGAAATAGTGGAATTTAAAGAGAAATTTCAAGGAAAGGAAAAAATGAAGGAAATTCTAGAAATGAATTAATTAATAGGGAAGGGGACATAGAGTCCATCCAGCCTCCTGCTTTCCCAACCTGGGGAACATGGACCCCAGGAGGCTGAGGAGGGAAATGAGAGGGGCATGGATCTATTTGTGGACCCAGCATCATACACGCATGCACACACACACACACACACACACACACACACACACACA